TGCTAGCCTGCCCCTTCCATTCCCAAATGATCTCTGCTAGCCTGCCCCTTCCATTCCCAAATGATCTCTGCTAGCCTGCCCCTTCCATTCCCAAATGATCTCTGCTAGCCTGTCCCTTCCATTCCCGAATCATTTCTGATAGCCTGCTGGATTTAACAAAGATTCATAATTGTAACCATAATTTTTTCCGTATCTCTCTCTCTCTCTCTCTCCTCCCTCTCACTCTCTCGCCTCCCTCGGCTTGGGTGGTTGGCGCGCGAAATCTTGGTGTGTGTATGGCTTGGTAGGGGTGGGGCACGCCCCACCAGTCTGCCATCGGCTAGGTCACCCACGGTCACAGCGCCCCCTCACTCCCTCACCGTCTCCATCCGCACCTCTGTACACACACACTTTTTGGACCCCTAAGGCACATGCTGGGGCGATTTTTAGCGCCCGAGGCGACGTCTGGCTTCACGGCTGTAAGGCGCCTCTTTGAGCCATACAGTAGTCTCTTAATTCCATATCTTACCGTATCAAATTTTGCCTTTTCGAAGCTGGAATGGCTCATAAGTCCCACGTTCTCAAGAATCTCAGTTAGCCTACCTCCTCAAGAATCTCTGCTGGCTGCCTCCGCAAGCTTCTCTGCTAGCCTGCCTCCTCAAAAATCGCTGCTAACCTGCCTCCTCAAGAATCACAGCTAGCTTGCCTCTTGAAGGGTCTCTGCTAGCCTGCCTCTCCTTAAGACTCTCTGCTAGCCTGCCTCCTCAAAAATCGCTGCTAACCTGCCTCCTCAAGAATCACAGCTAGCTTGCCTCTTGAAGGGTCTCTGCTAGCCTGCCTCTCCTTAAGACTCTCTGCTAGCCTGCCTCCTCAAAAATCGCTGCTAGCCTACCTCCTCAAGAATCTCTGTTAGCCTACCTCCGCAAGAATTTCTGCTAGCCTGCTTTTCCTCAAGAATCTCTGCGGGCCTGCCCTTTCTTAAAGAATATCTGCTAGCCTGCCTCCCCAAGGATCCCTGCTAGCCTACCTCCTCAAGAATCTCTGCTCGGATGCCTACCGTATGAATTTTTCCAAAATGCCATCGGCTCGATCGTCAGGCCAATGGCCCCAGGTCGGGATCTTCTCCTTGCTGACCTCGACATTCGAGATGGCCACTATCTGGGTGCTTAATCTCTCGGCATCTCCCTCTGATTTATCGAGTACACGACCTTCCTCCCCCCCCCGTCCCTAAATGAACACAAAACACCTATCCATGGCCACTTACTCAACCCGAATTCCCCACCGAAATCAGTGCGGCTTTCGAAATTTGTACTTTTTCGTTTCCTATTCGATTTTGAACCAGTTGAGCCGGTTTAAAGGAACCAGAAAGGCACACAGCGGAGATTTTTGGCAGGCTAGCAGAGATCCTTGAGGACCAAGAGCCGCGGATGACCTTTAGGGCCCGCAACCTGCCCCATCCTCCCACCCCGGAGGCCATAAACCACGGTTGTCTACCGGTTTCCTGTTTTTGTCTGTATTTCTCGCGCTCTCTCTCTCTCTCTCTCTCTCTCTCTCTCTCTCTTCTCTCGCTCCTTCCGGCACCACAGCTGCACCCGGAATTGTCCACCTCCCCGTAAAACATGTGCTATTTAGTGGGGGCCCCTGTTGCTTAATGATAGGCCATAACTTGTGGCTGGGATAGTAGGGAGGTAGATCGGGTTACGGTAGGTTTCACTGCGTCGTTGATCCGGCTCAAAGATCTCTGCTAGTCAGCCATGGCGATGCAAAAAATCTATTTTGAGCTCGGTTTTGGCGAAGAATCTCTGCTAGCTTGCTTTTCTTCCAAAGCACTTAAGAAAACATCCTAAATTCCTCAAGCATCTCCGCTAGCCGGCTTGGGTTAGGCTTAGGCTTAGGATTTCGGCTTAGGCCGGGGCTTAGGCTTGGGCTTAGGCTTAGGCTTATGCTTAGGCTTAGGCTTATGCTTAGACTTAGGCTTATGCTTAGACTTAGGCTTATGCTTAGGCTTAGGCTTATACTTAGGCTTAGGCTTATGCTTAGGCTTAGCTTAGGCTTAGCTTAGGCTTAGCTTAGGCTTGGCTTAGGCTTAGCTTAGGCTTGCTTAGGCTTACGTTAGGCTTAGGTTTAGGCTTAGGTTCAGGCTTAAACTTAGGACTAGGTTTCAGCTTATGCTGAGGCTTAGCTTCACTTGGGCATAGGCTTCGGATTTCGGCTTTGGCTTAGGCTTAGGCTCAGGCTCATGCTCAGGATTAAGCTTAGCTTTCCTTAGAAAACTTGGCACTCTGCCAACACCGCTGCACTCCTCGGAAAGCTGATACAAATTGTAGCCGGGGCGTGGTGTGAGCAAGAGAAGAGGAGAAGGGGGTCAGGGCACCGTTGCGCAATTTGGCCCCGGAACGGGACGGAACACTGGGGGTGGAGGGGCAGCAGCACTCTTGTACTCCACGGGATCCCGCAAATACAGGCGGCTACAACTACGCATTGTTACAAACGACAGGAAGCGAGGTCCTTGGGGGTACGGTAGCCTCGGGCGTGAAATAGGATGCGACGGTTCGCGTATCTAAGGCTTTGGGTACGGTATTTTTGAGCGCGGGATAGGTTTAGGCTTAGGCTTAGGCTTAGGCTTAGGCTTAGGCTTAGACTTAGGCTTAGGCTTTGGCTTAGGCTTAGGCTTAGGCTTAGGCTTTCGCTTAGGCTTAGGCTTAGGCTTAGGCTTAAGCTTTGGCTTAGGCTTAGGCTTTGGCTTAGGCTTAGGCTTAGGCTTAGGCTTAGGCTTAGGCTTAGGCTTAGGCTTAAGCTTTGGCTTAGGCTTAGGCTTTGGCTTAGGCTTAGGCTTAGGCTTAGGCTTAGGCTTAGGCTTAGGCTTAGGCTTAGACTTAGGCTTAGGCTTAGGCTTATTGAATTGAACATACTGATCAAATTTTTTATTCTGACTTCCTACCCCCCAGGCTATCAGCACCAGCGCCAAAATTCAAATTGCGGCTGCGGACATGGGGGTTTTTTACACCCTCCGATGGCGTCGTGGAGATAAGGAAAGTCAGGGAGGGAGAGAGGGAGGCTGGTCAGTACTTTTTCGCTGAAAAAAACCCTGGTTTCCTCAAGTTTCTCTGCTAGCATGCCTCGATCAGTGTAGCTATCTATTACTCTTTCTCACTCTCTCTCTCTCTCACTCTCTATCTCTCTCTCTCTCTAACTCGCCATCAAATTCCTTAAGCGTCGCTGCCATCCGACTCTTTTCCTCAAAAACCTTTGCTAGCTCGCCTGACAAAGACGACGCTCAAAGAATCTCTGCTGCCTGCTCCCTCAATTTCTTATTTTTTTTTTGCAAAGCATCCTTGCTAGCCTGCCTCCCCCATTCCTCAAAGATCTCTGCTAGCTTGCCCAACCAGGATTTCGAGTTCCTTAGATTTCTCTGCTAGCCTGCCTTGGCTGTTCTGCTGCAGAATCCCTGTTGGTTTCCCCGCAACCTTTATTCCTACAGAACCCCTGATAGCTTGCCTCATCCCCAACTTCCACAATTTTCTCAGCTAGCCTGCCCGTTTTCATCTATGGTTTTGGATTCCCCAATTTTCTCAGCTAGCTTATTTCAATTTCTCACGCAAGATGGGGGGTACGGGCGTGGGAATGGCATTTTACATCGCATTCAAATTGGCGGGAGAACTGTGCGGGATCGTCCCGCCAGCAGCCAGCCACCCACCCCTGCTGCCCCTAATCTCGACCCCTTCTTCCCCCTCTTTTTGAGAGACAAGAAAGTTGACACTTCTTCCCGCCACCCGATCCGCCTCAATATGCCCCAGGCACAATTGTATATGTTTATTTTTGAGGGTATTGCCGTATTTCTACAATATCTCTCTCCATTTCTCTCACTCTCGCTCTCTCTCTCTCTCTATCGTTCTAACTGTCTCTCTGGCTCTCTCTCTGGCTCTCTTTCTCTGGCTCTCATTGGCTTCCACTCGCGCCCTCTCTATCTCTCGCTCTCTCTCTCACTCTCGCTCTCACACTCTGTCGCTGTCTCTCTCTCTGTCTCGCATCGCTTTCTCTCGCCCTCTCTCTCTCTGCCTTTTTCTTCTATCTTTCTATCTCTCGCTCTCTCTATCACTCGCTCTCTCTCTCTCTCTCCATGCTCATTGCCCCATTCCAGATGAGCGAATACGGGTCAACCTCACAGTCCGAGGAGGAGCTCATCGATGTCGAGGTGAGCGCCATTTTTTTTGCTGACCATGCCTTTAAATACGCTAGATAATTAACTTCCCGGTTCCTGGAAAGTATGAAAGTACAAACCACAAGACCGAGCTTTCACCATCCCTTTAAGCCCCCCTAAAAACCTATCTTGATTTTTTTAGGAAACCGACGATAATCAGCCCACCTCCTCCTCCTCCCAGCAACTCACGCGAGAGACTGGAGCGTTGAAGGTACGTATACATCTAGACTTCTCGGCCCCTTTAACGGGACTAGGAGCCCCGAAAATCGACCCTTTCGATCTGCTAGGCCTGGACGGCTACGAACTACTCCAAAACACGCGCACACTCTCTGATTTTTATGGCCTTTAGAAACACGTTTTTTGACGTGTCGCGTAGTTGTCGAAACCTAGTCCATCAAAGGGTCGATTCTCGTTCTTCCTTGTCCCTTAAATAATAGACTTATTTAGATCACAAAGCCCACAGACATTCTGGCAGATTCTGGGCTTCAAAAGCCCGTCTTCCGGATCGTGGAACGGGGCCCGGATCCGGACGAGGATAAGGAGAACTGGGACCCGACCAGGCTTCCGCCAGTGCCATTGACTCCCGTATCACCACCGCCTGCCACTGCTCCAGCCGCCGCGCCGTTGTCGTCAGGTACGGCGGGAGAGAGAAAGAAAGTGAGAGAGAGAGAGGAGAGAGAGAGAGAGACAGAGAGAGGAGAGAGAGCGCGCGCGGGAGAGACACAGAGAGAGAGGGCGAGAGAGAGAGAGGGTGAGAGAGAGAAAGCGAGCGAGGGAATTGATAATTCCAAAACCAATGTTTTCAGAAAGACCGTCAGCCATGTTTTCCAACTCCGACATCACGCTCCCCGAGCCCAAAAATGAGCCCGAGGAAAATGGTAGACGAATTTGCTTATTTTGACGAGTTACTCAATCATTTTTCATTTTTGGAAGTTTTAGCGTCCCTTTAGAACCCGAGGCCGACGAGACGGAGAGCGAGGACGGACAGGAAGACCGGGTGTCCAGAAAGGAGAAAAGTTTAGGCTTACTTTGTCAGAGGTACAGTACCTGAGGTTTTTTGCTTTCAACGGCCCTTTAAAGGTTCCTGCTGGCGATGAAAGCCGAGACCGAAGCCAACAAGACCATGACTGTTCATTTGGAGAGTGTGGCAAGGAAAATGAGTGGGTCTCTCTCTATCTCTTTCTCTCTCTCGATCTCGCTTTCTCTCTCTCCCTCTCGCTCTCTCTCTTTCTCTCTCGCTCTCTTCTCCTCCCAGTCTCTTTAAAAATAGTTTTTCTGTGTCTTAGATGTGGAAAAACGGCGGATATACGACATTGTGAACGTCATGGAGGCGCTGGAAGCCATGTCGAAGACCAACAAATCCTTCTATATTTGGCATGGTCTACACGCCTTGCCGAAGTTGATGGCTGACCTGCAGGTGGGCTAGCAACGATTTGTGAGGAAATGAAAATTAGCCTCAGGCTGGCAAGGATCTTGCAAAACTTTGTTGTGGCAAGCTAGCAGAGACCGTTAGGGAATCTAAAAAAAATTTCAGAAGGAAGCCGCCGAGGAGAAGCTGCCTGAACGCATCCTTCGGGTCGAGCAGGCCATGTGCTCATTCACAGAGCTCGGCTCGGGTCAGGCCAGGGATACTGTAGGTGGGTCAAGTTTTAGGCGAGTGGAGGCTAGGCTTAGGCTTAGAAACAGGCGGAATGTCAACCGTTTACGGTATTTATGTCCTCCTTCAGGCTCCTTCCTCCAAATCCCTGACGCCACTACCGTAATCCCGCCCCTGACCCCGACGCAGCGTAGTGAGTCGGAACAGGAGAAAAAGGTGGATTTTGCTCACTCTCTCTCCCTCCATCGCTCTCTCTCGCTCTTTCTCTCTCTCTCTCTCTCTCTCTCTCTCTCTCTTTGTCACCCTGCCTTTAAACCCGATAAGATTCAGGCCAAAACCATCTGCCGTGACCGGAACACCCGGAATTCCCTCGCCCAGCTTTGCCGACGTTTTCTGATGGTCCTACTGTGCAATCCGGTAAGTTACAGTACCCTTAAAAGTACCCCAAAAATTTAGAAAACTGCCCGGAAAGTAAGCCTGGACGTGGCGAGCACGGTGCTGATCAAGGACCCGGAGACCGAGGGATTTGAACCGCCGAGCAGGAGTGAGTTTGAAGAGGTTTGGAAGGCAGGCTAGCAGGGATCATTGTGGAAGCTGAAAAATTGTGTGATTTGGACCCATAAGCTAGCCGCGAGGTCTTTGAGAAACGTCAAAATTCATGGTTGGCAAACTAGCAGAGATTCTTGAGGAATCGGGATTTAGAAAGCAGTCAAGCTAGCATAGATCCTTTAAAATCAAATTTTCGTGTCCGAGCACCTTCAGAATCCAATTTTCAGGCCGCTGCCGTCGTCTGTACGACATCGCAAACGTGCTCGTCGCCATTGGACTCATCAAAAAAGTCCACTACCTTTTCGGCACCAAGAAAATCCCGCTGTTCGTCTACTCGGGGCCCGAGCCGGACGGTAAGCGGTTTTAAAGGGATGAGCAATTTAAAGGAGACTTCTGCGACGGCAAATCGGTCCTAAAGGATCTCTGCCAGCTTGCCTTTCCCTAAAAACCAGAGAATTTTTTGAAGAAAACGGCATCTTTGACGAGTCGGTCTGCTTCACGCAACAGCCCCTGCTCTCCCCGGCCTCGTGCCCCCAGACGCCGCTACAAAAGCAAAGCCAGGTAGGCGGAGGTTGAAGGCTACAAACTACAAAGTATACAGCGGACTACAGACTACAAACTACAAAATACATAAGTCCTAGATTTTTCGAAAAAACACAGGAAAAAATTGGAAATATAGACTACATTATTCCTCGAAAGCAGATAGTGATAGACTACACGTCACAGACTACAGACTACAAAATACAACCAAAAACACAAAAAATCTATAAGGCGAATTTTAGGGGAATCTCGCCTGCAAGCGAAGCCAGTCCGACTTTGACCTGGCCAACGCGAGCAAGCTGCCGAAGTTTGGGTAAGTTTTTCAAATTTCTGCGTGGTTTAAAGGTAGCTGGAAACCTGAGAATCGACCCCTGCTGTCGGCTAGGTCACGACAGCTACGTAAAGCAGCAAAAAACGCCACAAACTCGTTGGGATGCCGTGAAACTGAAGCGTTTTTGGCAAGTCAAGTAGCTGTCGAGACCTAGTCTAAGGACGGGGGCGATTTTACGATTCCTAGTCCCTTTAAAATCCGCATCTAAGTCGCGTTTTAGAAACGACTACCGTATGGACTCGATGATGCAGCTGGCCGAGCTGGCGGACAGGGAACGGAAGCGGATAGAAGCCGAGGCAAAAATGATGCAGAGGCCCAAGCCGCAGGTGATAGAGAGCGCGAGAGGGAGAGAGAGAAAGAGAGACAGAGAGAGCCAAAGATAAAGATAAATATAAACCATTTTTTTAGAACATCCTCCTCAACCCGACCCTCTCGCCCTTGCCGAGCTATTTGGGAGTATCGCCTGTTAATAATCAAAATAAAACGGTATGCGAGAGAGAGAGAGAGAGAGAGAGAGAGAGAGATAGAGAAAGAGAGAGTGAGAGAACGAGAGAGAGAACGAGAACGAGAGAGAGAAAGTTAGATCCATCCTTTTTAGCCCCTCCTCTACCAGCAATACTCGCCGATGTCGATGTCGGCGGGATCGAGCCCAAAACCCCAGCAGCCCCAATTCCAGCCGATCGTGTTGCCGAAACCGGTAATTGGAGCCAGAACGAGAGAGAGAGAGAGAGAGAGAGAGAGAGAGAGAGAGAGTCAGAGAGAGAGAGAACATGAGAGAGAAATACCATTCATTAATGCATCATCTTTTCAGCCCACCTGGATCCCCACCGCTCAAAACATGCAGTTCTTCCGGAACCTCGCCCTGGCGCAGCGGGCCCAGATGATGATGCGGCCGAGCACGAGCCAGGAGGAGCAGAAGCCGGGTAAGCATCTATCTCCCTCTCTCTCTCGCTCTCACTCACTCTCTCTCTCTCTCTCTCTCTCTCTCTCTCTCTTTCCATAAACTCTTTCAGATTGCATCCCGACGCCTGCCACTTCCGCCAGCCAATACTCACGCCACTCCGTCTCCAGCATTCTTGGAGTAGCGTCGCCCAGCTCTGGGCTTAAGTCCATGGTAAGCGAGCTTACAAATTTCATGGATTCTGCTTGCGCCGTCTATTTCATGGGACCGGGAATCTTAAAATCGAAACCTCGTCGACTGTCTAGACAACTGTGCTTGGCTTAGGCTCGTGCTCCAGCTAAAGCTTCTGCTTAGTCTTGGGTTTAGTCCTACGCTTACCGAAAAATCTATTGATATTACAGCGTCTATGGCATGCAACGTAACCGTCTAGACCTAATTGGCGTAGAGGTTGATTCTGGCGGTTTATAGTCCCTTTAAAAAGTTTTGCCATGTTTTAGGACACCGAGAAAGCGATGGAGGACGTGAAGACGAAGCTCGACCATCTCGACACCTCCCCCTTCCAGTTTGTGCCGCAGAGGAAGCCGCTGGCCGGCCTCCAGGGGAAAAGCCCTGCAAAGTGAGTGTCTATCTCTCTCTAGCTCAGTCTCTCTCTCACGCGCTCTCTCTCTCTGCTCTCTCGCTCTTCCTCTTGCTCTCTCCCTATCTCTCTACCGTATCCCAAGGGTCCCAGCACCATTACCACATTCCCACGCTAAATGGTGGGCCGAAAAACCATATTCCAGCCATTGTCGGGATCGGCTTTACGGGTCATCAAATAGCGCGTTTGTTTGGGTGAGAGCATGGGAAGTTGGCTTCGTAGAGCGTTTTAAAGGCATTTTCAAGAAAAAATGGTGGTCCTTAGATATTTCGGAAAGGAGCCAAAACCAGGGTTTTCGGCGGGGTCCCATCTATCTAATTTTCCCGTTTTTGGAGGGTTAAACTACTGGTGAATTTGGGAATCCTTAGTCCACGAATCCGCAGCCATGCCTTGCCTGTGCCGTTAAAACAACAACCCAGGCGGAGGCGTCAAACTGTTGCGCACAGCGGGCGCCGGGTCAACTGTGTCGTATGCCTTAACCTGGGAATGGAAGGGGCAGGCTAGCAGAGATCATTTGGGAATGGAAGGGGCAGGCTAGCAGAGATCATTTCGGAATGGAAGGGGCAGGCTAGCAGAGATCATTTGGGAATGGAAGGGGCAGGCTAGCAGGGATCATTTGGGAATGGAAGGGGCAGGCTAGCAGAGATCATTTGGGAATGGAAGGGGCAGGCTAGCAGGGATCATTTGGGAATGGAAGGGGCAGGCTAGCAGAGATCATTTGGGAATGGAAGGGGCAGGCTAGCAGAGATCATTTGGGAATGGAAGGGGCAGGCTAGCAGAGATCATTTGGGAATGGAAGGGGCAGGCTAGCAGGGATCATTTGGGAATGGAAGGGGCAGGCTAGCAGGGATCTTTAAGCCAAATCACTTCTTCGTAAAAGGCAACACCGCCTTGCATAAAGATTGATTAGCCGAGAGATTCCCAGCCTTGAGCGCCCTCCGCGCCGTTCGGTAATTAGACAAACAGTAAGTGGGGGAAGGCCGTGGGGCTCTTTGCGGGATGGGCCCTCTGTTGCGCAACTTATAGAATACCATCTGGGTGAGAGAGAGAGTGAGAGAGAGAGAGAGAAATTCCCAAAGCCAGGCCGCCCCCTTCAGAAATGCCACACAGTTGACCCGGCGCCCGCTGTGCGCAACAGTTTGACGCCCCGGGCCTAGCGCTTGTGAAATTTTTTATTAAAGGGATTGGACAGGGATGCATCCTAAAGAAACTCTGATTTTGAGCCTGCCCCTGATTTCGAGTAAAATTTTCATGTATTAAGGAAGCCAGATATTTTTTTAAAGGATCTGGCAAGCCAAAAAATTATCTTTCTGTTGCATCCTTTTTGAGACTGTTTGTCTCTCTCTCTCTCTCTCTCTCTCTCTCTCTCTCTCTCTCTCCCTCTCTTTCTCTGTCGTCATCTTTAGCAACCTTTAAAAAGGCAAGTTTAAATACCGTAACCCTCCAACTCCCACCCATCCATCTCCTAGTCCTCCCTTAATTTGAACGCGGGGTCCCGGGGCAGTGAAAGAAACAAAGCGGCGCTCATTCTTCAAAAAGTTACCGCGCCGCTGCGAGAGAGAGAAAGAGAGAGAGAGAGAGAGAGAGAGAGAGAGAGAGAGAGAGAGAGAGAGAGAGCGCGCGCGCGAGGGAGACAAACAGACCCAAAAAGGGCGCTCCAATTCAAATCTTCAGCGTGTCCCTCAAGCGAAATGTGCGGGAAACAGGGCGGCAAGTGGGGGGGGACGAGATTTTTATCGGCGAGAGACAGAGAGAGAGAGAGAGAGAGAGAGAGAGGGGGGAGAGTAGAGAGACCGAATGGCCTTTCACGGCCCGGTCCGAGCGACAAGATAATTTATTCGTGTTGGCAGGGCTAATGGAAACTCTTCACCCCAACTGGCTAGATCGGTAAGACATTTGAAAAATACCGTACGCTTGGAAACTCTGGGGATGGTTATTTCCCCCAAAAAAATACGGATATTAGCGTCTCCTGTCTCTCTTATTCTCTCTATTTCTCTCTCTCACTCTCTATCTCTCTCGTTATCTCTCTCGCTTTGCAACTCGAAAATGTTTGAGACGAAGAACTAAAGCCAGAATGTTGGGTGCGAAGCCTTGGGCTTCAGCTTAGGTGTAGGCTTAGGATTATGCTTAGGCTTAAGCTTATGCTTAGGCTTAGGCTTAGGCTTAGGCTTAGGCTTAGGCTTAGGTTTAGGCTTAGGTTTAGGTTTAGGCTTATGATTAGGCTTAGGCATAGGCTTAGGCTAAGAAGATTTGGTGACCAAATCGCGATAAACCCAATTTTTTTTTCAGGAAACCCTTCGGCAAAAGCAGCTTCACAAACTGCTAGGTGCTACACGCATCTCCACATCTCCACGCTACACGACATTCCTACTTACACCGCGTGTACTGTGTACCGTATTTTGTAGCGTACCGTAGTCTCTTTCTACTCCCCATTTTACCACTGATCTTAACTGGATCTCTTTTAAAGGCACCGGGAAGTCAAAATCCATAGCAAAAAGGTGAAACTTAGATTACAATTTGCAGACTTCTCGTTCCCTTTAATTCGCATCTACCGTACCCTACCGTACCTCTTTCGTGTCATTCCACGCCAATTACGTGTCCCCCACTAAGCTTTCCACCCTATTTTGCGCATTTTGCAGTTTGTATTTTGTGATTTTTGGCCTTTAAATTCTATTCCTTCCTCCTATGTGCAACGCGCAACAAGTAAATAGTGATTTTCTCGAACATTTTTATAATTTTGTCTCATTTTGCCCTATTTTCATTGCATGTACGATTGTCTTGGAATGTATTTGGCTTTGCAATTTGAATAAAAGAATTGTGGGAAAAATTAAAGTTAAATACACATCTAAAGGCGTAGTGACAGCTAGAAAGACAGAGAGAGAGAGACATTGAGAGAGAAAGAGAGAGAGAGAGAGAGAGAGAGAGAGAGAGAGAGAGAGTGAGAGGGAGAGATGCAGACACCAGACATATTTTTTGCTTCTCGCCTTTGTCAACTTTTTGAAGCAACTAGGTAAAAACATGAGAGACGCGGCTGTTCACTTACCTTGGCGCGGACGCCGGGCTGTTTCGTGAGAGCGCGAACAGCTGGAAGCAATCAGGAAGCACCAAGACAATTGGTCTGGTTCGCCAAAGTTTCCTAGGGAATCCCTGCTAGCCTGCCCCTTCCACTCCCAAATGATCTCTGCTAGCCTGCCCCTTCCATTCCCAAATGATCTCTGCTAGCCTGCCCTTCATAGAGACATTTTTTCATTAATGCGTCAATCCTCTTTTTATGTAACCTCCAGCTGTCTCCATGATGTGTCTATTTGTGTACCGGATCTGATGTCTGTCCCCGTATTTTTCTAGTAACTCGAGTGGGAGTCTATTTGCTTTCAGCGGCAGATCCGATCCCGGATCTACCCCTCTGGGACATTGGGAATTTGATCAGATTCCAAGTGTTTCCCGCAAAGAAATTCTGCTAGCCTGCCAAACACTTGTTTCTCAAAGGAACCCTGCTAGCTTACCCCACCCAACGGACGATTCCCAAAGATCTCTGCTAGCATCCCTGGATTACGGAAACCTCGGAATTTCCTTCAATTGATTTTGCGATTTTTATTGTCTTAAAAACTTTTGTGTTTTCCCAAATGGTCTCTGCCAGCTCGCCCTCATTCCCAAATAGCCTCTGCTAGCTTGCCTTCCTTTAATATTCCGCATTAAATTTTTAGCGCTTGTTGCAATTCCTAAATGACCTCTGCTACCTTGCCTTCCCTGAAATTTCAGGGTTTTTTTCGTACTTTTGAATACAACTACTCGTTTAAAATGGTCTCTGCTAGCCTACCCCATCCTCCTAGTTTCCAAAATGATCTCTGCGAGCTTGCCCTGTCGCGAATTTCAAGTTTTTCTCTACTTTTCAAGCTCAGACGCCCCTGTTCGTCTTTTAAGCTAGCCCGCGTTCCCCTCCTAGGTTTCCGACCTTGGGCCCTCTGGGCCCCAAGGCGTGTCAGCTGCTGTAACTCCCCCCGGGGCATGCAAAAAGAGCATGGGGGCTTTCTCACTCCTTCGCATGGCTTGAGCCTCTCCACACCCATCCCGAATCGATCGATTTGAGCCGGGGTGGGCCATTTTTCGGTTTTGAAGAATCTCTGCTAGCTAGCCTTCTCATAGCTTTTGCCTCCAGAGAACTGTGTTACCTTTCTCGGTGTAGCAGAAGCCGCTCCCTTCCGTTTCTCAACCTCTCCCTGCTGCCCCAAACTGCAACCGCAAAGTTCTCTGCTAGCCTGCCTTAAAACTGGTTCCGGCTCTGGGAATCTCTGCTACATTATTTAGAGCTAAAATTCCTTGTGAGCCCGACCAGACTTTTGAAAGGAGCGCTGCTAGCATGCCCTGACTCCTAAAGAATCTCTGCTAGCCTACCTTTCTGTCACTTCCGGTGCAGAGGTTCCCCGCTAGATGGCCCTCTAAAAACTGAAACCTGCTAGATTTTCAGTATGCCTGATCTTTTTTGTCTCCTAGTCTGCTCCATGTGCCAAAAAATCACTGCCAGGCTGCTCTGAATTCTGAAGAATCTCTGCTAGGCTGCTGTCTTCCTTAAGGATCTCTGCTAGCCTGCCTCTCCCATTCCCAAGTGATCTATGCTATCAGCGCAATTTCAGGGTAACCACAAGACCTCGCTCCGGGAGACGGTAGACGATGGTCTACTCGGCCGAGCTGGGCTACGACCCAGAGGAGTGGGAGGAGTGCGAGGAGGATGACAAGTTCATGGTCTTCAATGCGCCCATTAGACGTAAGTTTTTGATCAGCCATTAGAAGAAAGGGAGAGAGAGAGAGAGAGAGAGAGAAGGAGAGAAAGTGTTTTTTTCAGTACTCCTCTCGGCGATGGCCATCTCGTTCGCCTACTTCTTCTTCCGCATGGTCGACAAGAACGCGGCCAAGAAGGAGGAGGGCGAGGAGAAGCCGACCACCTCGGAGGTAATTATTTGCCTTGCGGGTGCCTTTAAACTTCTATAATTTGGATTTTGATTTTTTTTTCAGGAACCTGGAATTCTAAACACCGTTCTTGGACTCCTTGGAAATGGTTTGGTAAGTTATCGCTTGCCCTCTCTATCTCTCTCTCACCGTCTCTCTCTCTCTCTCTCTCTCTCTCTCTCTCTCTCTCTCTTACAGTCTTATTTCTAGGCCCTCCTCAGCGGCCCGGACTCCCAGACGATGCCCGAGACGGTTCGAGGAGGATTTGAGCGAGCCAAGGAGGTAGGTGACGTTTTTTGGTTTATCTCCCAATTTTCGAGACCTAGTAGACCAATGCAGTAGACTCTAACACTTCCCGGTTCCTTTAAAATCTTCTTCAAGACCGCCCAATCCGTCGCCTCCGATGCCAAGGCGTACGGGCAGGAGTTGGTGGAAAAGACGAAATCTGCAGCTGATGAAGCGTATTTGAAGGCTCAGGAAAAAGCGGAAGCGATCGGTGGTCAGCTGCAGCAGGTTATTAGCCGCTTGAAGGATGATAATTTTGTTTTTAAGGTCGCAGAAGAAGCCAAGAAAGTTCCGGAGCAGCTTCAGAAGCAGTTTGAACAGGTGGGCAGGCCAGCAGAGATCATTTGGGATACAACGCTTTTCTAGGCTCAACACGCCCCCGCCCACAGCCGCCTCGACGAGGCCGACGCGTTCGTCGAGAAGTTCGGCGCCCAGCTGGCCGCCTTGCCAAAGCAGCTTCAGGAGATGAGACAAGATGGAGTTCAGACACAAGCTAGCCCAGAAGATCAAGCGGCTCTCCGAGCCTGGCAAGCCGAACTCGCCCAAGTTGAGGCCGACAGGCTGGCGAGGCTGGAGGATCGGGAGGTAGGGTAATTTAGGCTTATGTTGAGCTTAGGCTTAGGCTTAGGCTTAGGCCTAGGCTTAGGTTTGGGCTTAGGCTTAAGCTTAGGCTTAGCTGGCGGCCCGCTAGCTAGTGGTCAAAACCCAATCAAGCCTGTGGGTCGATGTTTTCACTCCCCGGTCCCTTTAAGCAGACATGGCAATTCCGATCGGCCGAGCCGCGCGGCCGGGCCGGCGGGCTAATTTCCATAAAAAACGCGGCCGTCTACGAGCCGCCGTAATTAGTTACTTCCGGAAACGCGGCTTCGCGGCCGAGCCGCATTTTCATCGCGGCTCGGCCGGGCCGCCGCGGCCAAGCCGCAAACCGGAAGTAGCTCTTCTACATACCAAAAACCGCGAATTTCATGCGAAATGGAAATGGAAATGAGAAAGTTAAGGCTATCGAAAATAAATCCTCCTCGTTAGCAAGCTAAATACCCATTACATCTCGGATTTGCGTACCGGAAGTTCTCAAAACTCATTTGGATGCGGCCTTAAAAGCCGCGCGGCTTGGCCGCCGTGCGGCCTCAAAACGGAAAAAAGCCGCGGCCGCACCGGAAGTGCGGCCAAGCCGCGCGGCCCGGCCGCATTCTAATTTTTGCGGCCGAAAAAGCCGCGCGGCCCGGCCGATTGCCATGTCTGCCTTTAAGTAACCATTAAAGAGCCATTAAATGCAAAAATCAAGTTTTTAGACTGGAGGAGAAACCTCTTCCGGCTTGTCAACAGATGAATCTCGCGCAATCGACAAATTGGCGCCGGCCGATCACATCAGCATGCACACGTCGAGTGACAGCGGACCGGAAAATCGGTACGTAGCAGAGATTCTTTGAGTCGCGGGCACTCTAGCAGAGATCATTTGGGAATGCCTTTCCTTCTAAAATACTGTCTTGCAGTCGATTCTTGGAGCAGAAGATCATGAGCGAGATCAAGAACCTTTCCGGGGAAAGCCCGATGTGGGATCATCACAGCATCCAGCCGTCCGACGTCGAATCTGAATTCTCGATGGATATGAGAGGACATGTAAGTTAAAGGGAGAGAGAGAGAGAGAGAGAGAGAGAGAGAGAGAAAGATAGCTTTTTCAGGGCATCGACGGCTCCTCCCCCACCCACGACGTTCAATTCCAACCCGGCTCTATCGTTGGGCCACGCGCCAGCTCGGATTCCGACGACTTCGTCAAGATTTCTGTCGACCAGTTGCGGAACACGCCGCCTGAGGAGAAGAAGCCGATCACGCCGGAAGAAGCTGCGCAACTTCAGGTGGGTCGAGCTTAGCTTGGCTTAGGCTTAGCCTTGCACTTCTCGCCGACCTAGGCTTAGGCTTAGGCGCTTTTAAACTACGAATTTCAGGCCCTTATCCAAGAATACGATCTGGGAACCGACGCCACCCCTCTAGCCACCCCGCAGCTGAATCAGAGGCCGGCTTTCGCCACTTCCGGCCAAGTTCAGCAAGCCAACTTGCCGTCTGCAGCTTCCGAAGATATCCCTATTCAATTTGAGCAGCAACATGCTGGTTTTGGGCCGCAGCCGCAGCACGTTCAGCAAGCACAGCAAGCCCAGCAAGCTCAACAGGTTCAACAAGCTCAGCAAGATCTGCAAGCCCAGCCCCAGCAAGTTCAACAAGGCCCCCATGCTCAACAAGTTCAGCGGGATCAGCAATTCCAGCACGGACCACAAGCTAAGCAAGGCCATCAAGCCCAACAAGCCCAACCCTGGCTCCCCCCATTCGATGCCCCGACGTCGAAGGAGGAGCAAGAGATTTTGGTGCAGACCCATCAACAGCAGTACGGTCAGCAGCCGGTGGGTTTTTTGATGGTTTAAAGGGGTGGTGACACCAAAATTCATGCCTCTCTGCGGCGTCTAAACCAATTTTTAGGCGCCAATCGAGTCGGAGCATATCCGAGTTCAGCTGAATCCACCACAGCAGCAACAACAACAGCAAGGAGGTCAGCAAGGAAGCCGGCAACTCGTCGATGGTTCGTTAAATTCTGAATAGCTTAAAAAATTCGATTCAGAAGACCCAAGACGACTAGCAGAAGCCGAGATGTTCGTCGACGATGCGATAGAATATTTGGCAAATCAGAAGGTAGGCATAGGCTTTGGCTTTGTTTAGGCTTAGGCTTAGGCTTTGGCTTTGTTTAGGCTTAGGCTTAGGCTTTGGCTTTGTTTAGGCTTAGGCTTAGGCTTTGGCTTTGTTTAGGCTTAGGCTTAGGCTTTGGCTTTGTTTAGGCTTAGGCTTAGGCTTTGGCTTTGTTTAGGCTTAGGCTTAGGCTTTGGCTTTGTTTAGGCTTAGGCTTAGGCTTTGGCTTTGTTTAGGCTTAGGCTTAGGCTTTGGCTTTGTTTAGGCTTAGGCTTAGGCTTTGGCTTTGTTTAGGCTTAGGCTTAGGCTTCGGCTTAGGCTTAGGCTTAGGCTTAGGCTTAGGCTTAGGCTTAGGCTTTGTTTAGTCTTAGGCTTAGGCTTTGGCTTTGTTTAGGCTTAGGCTTAGGCTTTGGCCTTGTTTAGGCTTAGGCTTAGGCTTTGGCTTTGTTTAGGCTTAGGCTTTGGCTTTGTTTAGGCTTAGGCTTAGGCTTTGGCTTTGTTTAGGCTTAGGCTTTGGCTTTGTTTAGGCTTAGGCTTAGGCTTTGTTTAGGCTTAGGCTTAGGCTTCGGCTTAGGCTTAGGCTTAGGCTTAGGCTTTGGCTTTGGCTTGGGCTTAGGCTTAGGCTTTGGCTTTGTTTAGGCTTAGGCTTAGGCTTTTGCTTTGTTTAGGCTTAGGCTTAGGCTTTGGCTTTGTTTAGGCTTAGGCTTTGGCTTTGTTTAGGCTTAGGCTTAGGCTTTTGCTTTGTTTAGGCTTAGGCTTAGGCTTTGGCTTTGTTTAGGCTTAGGCTTTGGCTTTGTTTAGGCTTAGGCTTAGGCTTTGTTTAGGCTTAGGCTTAGGCTTCGGCTTAGGCTTAGGCTTAGGCTTAGGCTTTGGCTTTGGCTTGGGCTTAGGCTTAGGCTTCGTTAAACGGTTAAACGCCATTATTCAAATGCGAGTAACGCGTGTTTTGGAGTGTCGCGCAGCTTTCGACACCTAGTTAATGAATCGGTCGCTTCTTGCGCTTCCTAGTACCTTTAAAAGCTCAATAAACCTTGGTTTTAGAACCAACAACAAGCCCAACAAAAACAAAGAAATCAATCGCCAAACAACGCAAGTGGATTCGTGATGGAAGAAGATATGCTGAGCAGCCAGGGAGACAATAGGCAACGGCAGCAGGTGAGAGAGAGAGAAAGAGAGAGAGAGGGAGAGAGAGAGAGAGAGAGAGAACGACGAGCTTTTCCAGCCCTTCATCCGCGTCCCATCCGCTGCCGAGGCTACGAGCGCTATGATAAAGACAAATGATGTAAGAAAATTTGCTTGCACAGATAGGGAAACTAGCAGAGGTTCTTGGGGAAAACTGGGCATGCTAGCAGAGATTCTTGATTGTCTGCAATGCAGGCTAGCGGAGATTCTGAAGGAATTTTCTAACAGAAATTTTCCTTCCAGGTTTTCGACAAAATGGAGCACGATGATCATGATGACATGACTTACGCGCCAGAGATCCAGTCAGTCGAGATACCGCCCGATCAGGTGCCTTCAATGGGCCTTTAATCTTTAAAAATTGGCCTTTAGATGAGCGAGTCGAGTGAGAACTTCCAAGACATCTTCGACAAGATTGCAGCGGAATCTCAGCAGCTAGGTGAGAGATGGAGAGCGAGAGAGAGAGAGAGAGAAATCGATAAACGCGCGAATAGCAGGGATTCTTAAGGAAAAAAGGGCAGCTAGCAGTGATTATTTGGGAAATCAGGGGAGGCGAACATAGATTATTTTCCAAAGCGCGGCAAGCCAGCAAAGACACTTTGCGGAAATCACAGGCAGGCTAGCAGAGATTCCTTACGAAAGCGAGGGTCACTAGCAGAGACTGTTTCGGAAACGAGGGCGGGCTAGCAGAGATACTTCAGGAATTTCTACCGCTAAATTTTCAAATTTTTAGCGCACTTCGATCCAATGAGGCCGCAATCTTCTCAAGAAGCCGTAAAGGTAAAAATTTTGCTAAAAATCTTATTTTAAGGGACTGCGAAGGCTAGAATCAGCTTATATTATGGATTTTGCCTGCACAATCCCTTTAAAATCCAAATCTAGGCCCAGCGCAAGCCATCGCCACGCCGTGACGACTCGCCACCCCTTGAAGGCGAACCCCCGAGGGTACGGTAGCTTCCATTTCACTTTCTTAATTTTTTACCAACCCGCCTGACACGAGCAAGCTTTTTCAGTTCTCAACTTTCGCAATTTGCATACACATCTATATTTCTCTCCCGAATGTTCCGGATTATCCTCAGTTTTTAGCTAGAAAAGGCTTGTTATGCTTGGCTTTGACGATTCCTAAGCCTGCTTGGCTAGCCTAGAAAAATTACGCTTTAAAGGGGCTGGGAAGTGAGGCAATAGACTGCCGCAGGTGACTAGGTCTCGACAGCCAGGCGACACGCCAATCGAGGGAAATTAGACTTAGGCTTACGTTTAGGCTTGGCTTAGGCTTGGCTTATGTTGGCTTAGGCTTGACGCTTAGGCTTAGGCTTAGGCTTGGCTTAGGCTTAGGCTTAGTCTTAGGCTTAGGCTTGGCTTAGGCTTAGGCTTAGGCTTAGGCTTAGGCTTAGGCTTAGGCTTAGGCTTAGGCTTAGGCTTAGGCTTGGGCTTGGTCTTAAGCTTTGCTTACGCTTGACTTAGGCTTGGCTTAGGTTTATCTTTTTAGGCTTGACGCATCGTGTACCTGTCGAGACCTAGTCCCCAGTAGGGTCGATTCTCGCACTCCCCAGCCCCTTTAATCACCTATTCCAATCCCGAATAGAGCTTGCGAACTGTCAGAAGTAGGCACCGCTGGCTTTAAGAAGTTTTAGATAGAGATTTTTCAAAATCCAAGAAGCCAGCGCGTGCCTAGGACAGTTTTTGGGGGCAGGTGGAATGGTTTTTTGGGTGGCAGGCTAGCAGAGACTCTTTGGGAGGCCGGTCCTGTCATGCTCCTTTCAACCACCCAAAAGCCATTCCCCTGCCCCGAGTTCCCATCTTATAATTTCGTACCGTAAGCTAGTAGCTTGTGCTTCCCTCTTCAGCTCGGCGCCCCATCCGGATCAGCGCCACAGTTCCACTCACCGTACGCGCGGCGCCGTCGCCGTCAATTGGTACCCCCGCCCGAAGACTCTGAACGTCTCCGCGTCCCCTCGCCGTCAGAATTGTCGGATTCTGGGCGCGAGCATCAGCTCCTCTCACATGTATATATTTCGAGATTAACAAGAACTGTCGTGTGCGGTCTAACTGGGCGGGATAGCAGAGATTCTTAAGGAATAGAAGGGGCAGGCTATCAGGCATCATTTGGGAATGGAAGGGGCAGGCTAGCAGAGATCATTTGGGAATGGAAGGGGCAGGCTAGCAGAGATCATTTGGGAATGGAAGGGGCAGGCTAGCAGAGATCATTTGGGAATGGAAGGGCCAGGCTAGCAGAGATCATTTGGGAATGGAAGGGCCAGGCTAGCAGAGATCATTTGGGAATGGAAGGGGCAGGCTAGCAGAGATCATTTGGGAATGGAAGGGCCAGGCTAGCAGAGATCATTTGGGAATCTGGCATGCTAGCAAAGAAAATTAGGGAAAGAAACGACAAGCTTGCAGAGGATGTTTTGGGAAATCAAGGCAAACTAGCAGCGACAATTTAGGAATTTCTAACCCCAACTTTCGACACCAACTAACTCCTCTGAATCCTTGAATCTCTCACATTCCCCGGACGCAATTAATCGAGTTTTTGCCTGTGCCGAATCGATTACGATATGAAATTCCGTAATTTAGCTGCGGAAGCAATCGTCCCTTCTCTCGATCATGGGAGTTACTTCCTTGCAAGAGCTTCTCCTCTCGGTCACGTCGCTTGAGGCCCTGTCGAACGCGATGGCCAAGGCGGGGTTGGAGTCGACGAATTTGGTGTTCGGTAAGCGAGAAAGAGAGAGGGAGAGAGAGCGAAAGATAGAGAAAGAGCGAGTGGGAGAGAGAGATATTTTTCAGGAATCGACTACACCGCCTCCAACAAGTACCAAGGCGAAGACTCTTTCGGCGGTCGATCCCTCCACACCATTCATCCTAACGTCAAGAACCCCTATCAGCAGGTATTCAAGCACTAATCGAAGACTAGCAAGCTAGCAGAGAGACTTGAGGAACGGTTCGTAAGCTAGCTGAGATCCTGTGGAAAGCCTGGGCAAGCTAGCAGAGGTTCTCGTGGAAAATGGAGGCAATCCCTGAGGACATTTGTGGCAAGCTAGCAGAGATTCTTTAGAAGGGTGGAGGCTAGCAGGGATTCTTGGGGAAATTCGAGGCAAGCTAGCAGAAGTCCTTTAGGTAATCAGCATCCTCGGGCGAACACTTGCCCCATTCGCCTCGACCAACGCCATTCCCGTTTACGGTTTCGGCGACGCCAAGACGAGCGACTGGAGTGTGTTCCCGCTCCGAGCCGACGGCGAGTGCAAGGGGCTCGAAGAGGTTCTAAAGTCAGTTTTCTCTTAATTTTTAGCCCTATGGCAAGCCAGCAGGGAGCCTTGAGGAATTTATCCTTTCCCGCCCCTTTAAAATCGCTAAAATGACCATTTGAGGGCCTACAATGACATCACGCCCACCGTGGACCTGTCCGGCCCGACAAACTTCGCCCCGCTCATCTACCAGGCGATAGAAGTTTGTCAGCGGATTCAGGATGTGAGTTTCGCTCTTTCTCTCTCTCACTCTCTCTCTCACTCTCTCTCTCTCTCACTTTCTCTCTCTATCGCTCTCTCCTTCTCTGTCTCTCTCGCTCTCGCCCTATTTCGATCTCTCTCGCTCTCTCTCACTCTCTCTATGTCTGCCTCTCTCGTTATCTCTCTCCCGCCCGCTCTCTCTACCCTAATCTCTCGTTTTTCAGTACCACATCTTGGTAATCATTGCTGACGGCCAGGTGACTAATGAAAAGGCCACGCGGCGGGCCATAGTACAGGTTGGTGACGGGGGCGAGCTAGCAGAGATTATTTGGGAAATTGGGGCAGACTAGCAGGGATTTTTCAGGATTGTAGGAATAAGCATACCCCTACTTTCAGGCTTGCCAGTACCCGCTCTCCATCATCGTCGTCGGGGTCGGTGACGGACCCTGGGATATGATGCGGGTGAGTTACCGTAGCCGGATTGTAGCGTAGCCTACCGTAACCCCATCGAATATTATCGTACACGCATTTTCCAGGTTTTCGACGAATCCCTACCAAAACGCGCCTGGGACAATTTCCACTTTGTCGAGTTCCACGAGATTATGAAGTGCGCTGGCGGCGATGAGGCCGACGTGAAGATGGCCGTCCACTCATTGCTAGAAATCCCCGATCAATACAGGTAGGCAGGCTAGCAGAGATCATTTGGGAATGGAAGGGGCAGGCTAGCAGAGATCATTTGAGAATGGAAGGGGCAGGCTAGCAGAGATCATTTGAGAATGGAAGGGGCAGGCTAGCAGAGATCATTTGGGAATGGAAGGGGCAGGCTAGCAGAGATCATTTGGGAATGGAAGGGGCAGGCTAGCAGAGATCATTTGGGAATGGAAGGGGCAGGCTAGCAGAGATCATTTGGGAATGGAAGGCGCAGGCTAGCAGAGATCATTTGGGAATGGAAGGGGCAGGCTAGCGGTGATCATTTGGGAATGGAAGGGGCAGGCTAGCAGAGATCATTTGGGAATGGAAGGGGCAGGCTAGCAGAGATCATTTGGGAATGGAAGGGGCAGGCTAGCAGAGATCATTTGGGAATGGAAGGGGTAGGCTAGCAGAGATCATTTGGGGATGGAAGGGGCAGGCTAGCAGAGATCATTTGGGAATGGAAGGGGCAGGCTAGCGGTGATCATTTGGAGAGATCATTTGGGAATGGAAGGGGCAGGCTAGCAGAGATCATTTGGGAATGGAAGGGGCAGGCTAGCAGAGATCATTTGGGGATGGAAGGGGCAGGCTAGCAGAGATCATTTGGGAATGGAAGGGGCAGGCTAGCGGTGATCATTTGGAGAGATCATTTGGGAATGGAAGGGGCAGGCTAGCAGAGATCATTTGGGAATGGAAGGGGCAGGCTAGCAGAGATCATTTGGGGATGGAAGGGGCAGGCTAGCAGAGATCATTTGGGAATGGAAGGGGCAGGCTAGCGGTGATCATTTGGAGAGATCATTTGGGAATGGAAGGGGCAGGCTAGCAGAGATCATTTGGGAATGGAAGGGGCAGGCTAGAAGAGATCATTTGGGAATGGAAAGGGCAGGCTAGCAGAGATCATTTGGGAATGGAAGGGGCAGGCTAGCAGAGTTCATTTGGGAATGGAAGGGACAGGCTAGCAGAGATCATTTGGGAATGGAAGGGGCAGGCTGGCAGAGATCATTTGGGAAATGCCTTTTTCAGATGCATCTGCAAGCTGGGCCTTGTCAAGAGCCGGACACCGCAGGGCTCTCAGAACCTTTAATTCCACTCATTTCAATTTTTAGTGTTAAAATATCGAACTTACCTGGTCCTTGAAATAGCAACTACGTTCTACACCAATTTACGTCTCTGTCTCACCTTGTGACTTGCCAGCTTTCAGGTCCGCCCTACTATTATTTTTGTGGTAGCAGTTGGAATAAATATTTGAGAATTGAGGTTTGATCGTTGCGTTAATGGAGAGATGAGAAAACAACTCTCTCCCTCTCTCTCTCTCTCTCTCTCTCTCTCTCTCTCTCTCCCTCTCTCTCTCTGTCTCTCTCTCAGCCCAAAATCGACCACTAGTAGCTGATCTCCTCATCTTCCTACAACCCTATTTGTCCGTCTCGCTGTTTGTCAGTCTGTCACTCCCCGTCTGTATGTCTATGTGTCCACCTACAGTACCCCTTGAGGGCCCTAAAGGCCCGAGGCTATTTGCCGAGCGCATTACATGAGAGGGGTCGTGTCCTCACAAGAAGCTCCCCGATTTGGGGGCTGATGAGGGGACGAGCGAGAGCGAGAGAGAGAGGGAGAGAGAGAGAGAGAGAGAGAGAGAGAGAGAGAGAGAGAGAGAGAAAATGAGCAGAAGCTCTGATCTTTGACTTTTGAGTTGTCGACCTCTCTGCGTGTTTATTTTTAGGACAGGCTAGCAGAGATCTTGTGAAACTGCGGTAAGTTAGCAGTAATTCTTAGGGAAAATGAGGTCGACAGGCTAGCAGAGACGCTTGAGGACCAGAAGTGGAAGTTGGCACAGATCCTCGAGGAATTATAATAGGGGGAATACCGGATAGCGAATTATTTCTAAGAATTACCCAGGCAGGCTAGCAGAGATTCGTTGTGGTTTTGCAGGCAGGCTGGCAGAGATTCTTTAGGAATGCAAATCAGCCGTTATCACGGAGGCTCAAGAATCAATTTATAGCCTTTTGTGCGCGATTTTATCGAGACAGCGAGAGAGAGAGAGAGAGAGAGAGAGAGAGAGAGAGAGAGAGAATAGACCTACCGAGCTACAAACATACAGACAAACAGTAAAATGGACAGCTAGAGACCGAGAGAAGCCGTCCCCCTTCCCTCCCCCGGTCCATCTCGAATCTTATCGGCGGCTCGACCGGCCGGCCCAAATTTTACGGCCCGTAAATTAGGGGCGGCTACCGTTGGGGCGCCACACAGCTACCGACTCGCCCGATTCTGCATTCTTTGACTCGCTATTGGGGACTGTCGATTGAAGGCCTGGGCTTAGGCTTGGCTTAGCTTGGTTTAGGCTTAGGCTTAGGCCGTTTAAGGTATAAAAAAATCAAAACCAAGTTCCTTTGGAGAATTTTTGCATCCTCACGTACTTTCCAAACTACGCGCTAATCCAATTTACGCTGGAACGCCGGCCGGAAACTTTTTCGCAAAAAGGGCAACACTCAAATCCATCGGCCAACGGGCTAATGCGTTCCGTTTTCCGGGGCTTTCCAGATTCAAACTGTTCAAAACTTGCGATTTTCTGCTGTCTGTCTTCTCTCTCTCTCTCTCTCTCTCTCTCTCTCTCTCTCTCTCGCACTCTATCTACGCTTTTAAAGGGATGGTGACAGCGTGGAAGCCACGAATTATCTCTCTTTTTCGACGAATCAAGGCGTTCAAAGAGCTGATAGCGATGGATAGAGCTTCTGCACGGCTTCATGGGGTCGTAAAACTACAGCGCGCTCCGGCGGACGCTATCAAACGGTCCGCATGGTACGGTAGGGAGGCAGATTTTAGATCTTTGCCCTCGATTCCGAAATAATTTGTGCTAACCTGCCCCTTCCATTCCCAAATGATCTCTGTTAGCCTGCCCCTTCCATTCTCAAATGATCTCTGCTAGCCTGTCCCTTCCATTCCCAAGTGATCTCTGCTAGCCTGGACCTTTCCTCAAGAATCTCTGCTAGCCTGCCCATCACCATTCCGTCCCACTCCTAAACACGGCTATTTACCCTCCCGTCGTACTGTGTTGTTTTTGCTGTCGCGTCGGGAGTGTAGCGGCTCTCGAGAAGAGATGACTTGACCTGTGTTTAGGAGAGAGAGCGAGAGAGAGAGAGCGAGAGAGAGAGAGCGAGAGAGAGAGAGAGCGAGAGAGAGCTACAAGTGTTAGCCGGGCAAATGATTGGAGCGGTAAATTGTTTGCCAACCGGCTCCCGCCCCTCCAAAGCGCCCCACTACTTCAGAACATCTTTAAGCTGCGTAAGGAGCATCTTTGCGTAGCGCTATGTATCCCGGGGGCTACATAGCGGCTGTCTTTTGGAGGGATTGGAAAGATCAGGGCTAATATTGGTCTTGGATTCAGCAAAGGGTCTCTGTTCGCCTTCCTAAAGAATCGCTGCTAGTTTGCCATAGCTTCAGTTTCGGCGCTGAATCTCAAATAATGTCAGCTAGGCTGCATTTTGAAGGTTTCTCTGCTTAATTCTCCGCACTAGATTTTATGCCAATTTTCCAAAGAATCACTGCTAGCTTGCCCTGACAAGTGATGTCCTCAAAAATCTTTGCTAGCCTGTTCTAACGTCTCCATACGCTCGATTTTATGCAAATTTTTACAAATTATCTCTGCTATACGGCCCGGACTTCTTATATGCCTCAGAAACTTCCTTAAGAATCTCAGCTAGCTTGCTCAGCTCTCCAGACTATCTCTCTCTCGCTCTCTCTCTCTCTCTCTCTCTCGCTCTATCTCTCACTTCCTCCCTCCCCCTCCCTCCCGCTCCCTCTCGCTCTCTCGCGCTCTCTTTCTGTCTCTCTCTCTCTATCTCTCTCTCTCTCTCGCTCTCCTCATATGCAAATTAGCCCCTCACTACTACTACAGCTACAGTACCCCCCCCATTCCGACGACTCCAAGTGTCGTGAGGGTGTGCTCCAAAGATTGGGGCGTGTCCCTCCCCTTCCCTCGTTTGTCCGTCTATACCCTGGGGGCACATTCTTACGGTCATTCCGACGCTGCACCGTCTCCAGTTGTCCCCCGTACTCCCGCACCCACCGCCCCTGAACCACTTCACGACTCTGCAACTGGCTCTCCGGATTACTGTAGCTACCATAACTACGACTGCTACTACTTACGTACTCGCAAATTTTGGCCAGGGCACGGAAACTACGATAGATACGCTGCGCTACGTAATTCCGATATACCGCACGGTTTTCATGGAACCTTCTCACCTCTTTAGGGCATCTCAAATCTTTGCTTGTCAAGAGCAAGCCAGCAGAGATTCTTTAGGAAAAGGCAGGCCAGCAGAGATTCTTTAGGAAAGCAGAGATTCATCAGGAAAATTCAGCTTAAGCTACGGTAGCTACAAACAATTGCTAGAAATATTTGCTTTAAAGTATCTCTGATGCCGTAACAGATTCTGAGTCGGTTTTGCTAAATTACTGTAGCCGATATAAGCCTCGACTTGCATAAAACGCAATTATTGTCCCCATTAAAGGAACGTTGAAGTCAAATAGGAGATCCAGTATCTTCCGATAATTCAAATGTACTCCGCCGTACCAGCATTTTTAGGAGCTGATTTTGCTACGGTATTCGCAGAAAAAGCTAACCGAAGCTTTAAAGATGCACCGAAGTAAGCCTGCAAATTATGCTTTTTTTATTTTTTGAATTTGTCCAACTATTTTTCGAATTCCTGGGCGCACTTGTTCCCGATTTTGACGATTTTCCATTGATTTTTTGTATTTTTTTTAATGTGTATTGCCCCTCCCTCCATCCTAGAAAGCCGGATTGAAGAATCGTCTTACCTGAACATTATTAGAGTCATAATGGTACGTCTAATACTGTCAGGTAAAGATGTTTCTTTATTGGCTGATGGCGACTGACTTTATTGATTTTAGGCTTAGTCTAATGCTTAAGCTAAGTTTGAGGCTCCTGCTTAAGCGTCGCTTAGGCTTAGGATTGGCTCAGACTTAGGCTTAGGTTTCGACTTGGTTTGGACTTGGACTTAGGCTTCGCTTAGGCTTCGGCTTAGACTCACCTTGGGCTGAAGCTTCGGATTAGGCTTGGCATAGGCTTCGATGAGGCTTAAGCTTAGGCTTGAGCTTCCATTAGACCTAGGCTTAGGCTCCAGCTTCGCTTTAGGCTTCACCGAGCCAATCAGACCGAGTTCACAAAATTTTTTTTGAAGGTCCTGCAGCTAACTAGCAGTGATTATTTGGGAAAGCAAGACATCTTTCCAGATTTCGATCGAGATTCCGATCTGTACACCCGACACCTCTAAACGGACAGTGCTACACGACACGGGTTCCGTCTCACCTCCCCTTTTGCAAGGTTAATTCGTTCACGTGCCATGCCTACCCCCTGCCGACCTTTCGCTTTCACCCCACGATGCCCACCCGTTTGCCCCGGGGGCTATTACCGCCCCCCAACAAGCGGTTCAACTTTTTTTGAATGCTATACGATGCGATGCACTTTTGGCGGACGCCAAGAATCTCTGCTAGCCTGCCATTTCTTGAAGAATCTCTGCTAGCCTGCCCTTTCCTAAAGAATCTCTGCTAGCCTGCCCTTTCCTAAAGAATCTCTTCTAGCCTGCTATTTCCTAAAGAATCTCTGCTAGCCTGCTCTTTCCTAAAGAATCTCTGCTAGCCTGCTCTTTCCTAAAGAATTTCTGCTAGTCTACCCCGGTCTCCAAAAAAAATGCAACCAGCTCGCCGGTCAGCCACTCAACAACAAAATCCGCTTATTGAAATTCTATGCGGGTGCCCTTTTGTGTGTTTCGTAGTGCGGCGGAAAAGTGGGCCGGTCAAACCTTTTTTGAGCGCTTTTTGGCACGGGCATCGATTTTTTGGGATGTTAGATTCTGGCGCAATAACAGCGTTCCTTTGGGAAACCTTCACAGTTTCATTCGGCAAGCTAGCAGAGATCATTTGGGAATGGAAGTGGCAGGCTAGCAGAGATCATTTGGGAATGGAAGGGGGCAGGCTAGCAGAGCTCATTTGAGAATTTTAAAGCCTGAACAGCTAGCATGGGTCCTTGTGGAATTTCCAGCTGACCTCCCAGGGCCAGGGCCAGGAATG